TTGAGGTCAGGAGTTCGAGACCAGCCTGGCCAACATGGTGAAACCCCATCTCTACTAATACAAAATACAAAAATTAGCTGGGTGTGGTAGCGCCAGCTACTCGGGAGGCTGAGGCAGGAGAATTGCTTGAACCTGGGAGGCAGAGGGTTGCAGTGAGCCATAATTCTGCCACTGCACTTCAGCCTGGGCGACAGCGAGACTCTGTCTCAAAAAATAAATAAATTAATTAAAAAGGACAATTCTTTAAGGTGAATAAATTCAGCTTGATAAAAATATTCACTGTATTTTACTACGGAACAGTAAATGCTATTTCTTGGACCAATTACTCTGTTTGAAGTACATTCGGCCCTCCATATTTGTGGATTCTACATCCATAGATACAACCAAGACTTTGGATGGAAAATGTACAGGGGAAAAAGAAGGATATGTTGTCTGCTGTACTGAACAAATATGGACTTTTTCATTGGTCATTATTCCCTAAATAATGCAGTATAACAACCAATTGCATAGTATTTACATTGTATTAGGGGTTATAAGTAATCTAGAGGTGATTTAAGGCATATGGGACTATGTGCATAGTTTACATGCAAATACTGCACCAATTTACATAAGGGACTTGAGCATCTGCAGATTTTGGTATCAAGGGGGTCCTGGAACCAGTTTCCCATGGATATCAAGGAACAATTGTACTGTTTTAGGAGCTAGTTTGCTGACTCTAGCCTGACCTTGAATTATGCTTGGCCTTGTAACTTCATCTACACAAAAATTATTCTATTTCCCAAGAACAAGAGTTTATTTTAAAACAGGACTTACAGGAACCTCCTCTTTCCCTATTAAGAAAAAAGAAAATTACTACCAAACAGAAAATTCAATTAACTAGCAAGAAATGTCAAAGAAAAACTTACGTGGCCCAATCTTCAATGATATGGTGATTTTCATGTCATTGAACCACCCACTGTGCTGAACACGGCAACAATATATGCCACTGTCAGACACAGCTGTATTTGCTATAGTCAAAGAGACATCCCTGCGTGAAAGGTTCCCCAATAGCTTATAGCGTGTCTCCTTCCGATAGGTGACGTGGGTTCCATTGGTCCAGACAATGCCATCTGGGCATGAGAAAACAGAACATGTGCCTTTATTCCAGCACATGGATGTGATAGCTCCGTTGTAGCGGCAGGGCAGTGTGATAGGTAGACCTGCCACTCCATCAACATTTACAGAATCAGCTACAGAATCTGCAATGAAGAAAAGACAAACTGAGAATGAGCCTTAACATTTCCTCTTGGCTGGGCACGGTGGCTCATGCCTGTAATCCAAGAACTTTGGCAGGCCAAGGCGGGCGGATCAACCGAGGTCAGGAGTTCAAGACCAGCCTAACCAACATGGCAAAACCCAATCTCTACCAAAAAAAAAATATATATACAAAAATTAGTGGGGTGTGGTGGTGGAATCCCAGCTACTCAGGAGGCTGAGGCAGGGGGAAGTGCTTGAACCCGGGAGGCGGAGGTTGCAGCAAGCTGAGCTCGCACCACTACACTCCAGCTTGGGCGACAGAGCAGACTCTGTCCTCCCACCCCCCCAAAAAAATTTTTTCTCTGAAATTTTTTTACCTGTTTTACTTTCTTTAAAAAAATATTTTATTCATTTTTTAATTGTTTATTTTTTAGAGACAGAGTCTTGCTCTGTCACCCAGGTTGTAGTACAGTGGCGCAAAGATCTTGGCTCACTGCTACCCCTGCCTCCCAAGTTGAAGAAATTCTCATGCATCAGCTTCCCGAGTAACTGGAATTACAGGCATGTGCCACCACGCCTGGCTAATTTTTGTATTTTTAATAGAGACAGGGTTTCACTATGTTGGCCAGGCTGGTCTTGAACTCCTGACCTCAAGTGATCCGCCCATCTGAGCCTCCCAAAGTGCTGGGATCACAGGCGTGAGCTGCCAAGCCCAGCCTTGTAAATTGACATTATAGCTGGAATTTTTTCCCCCTTTTTCCAAGTTAGCTGATATAGCTGGAATTTTTTAAATTTGAGATTACAAGCATTTTTTTATGTTACCATTCTTTTAATTTTTTTTTTTTTTTTAAACAAAGTCTTGCTATGATGCTTGAACTCCTGGCCTCAAGTGATCCTCTGGAGGTGCTGGGATTACAAGCATAAACTGCTGCACCTGGCTTAGCATATTCTCCAACAGTATTGCTCAGGGGATATATTTACAAGTAAAACATTTTATTGTACTGTGTGATATTCAAACTGTTTCTCATTTTTACCAGTGTAAATAACTTCACATAACCTTTCTACACAAAACTTTTTGCATTTAGTTTTCTTAATAGGATATAATTCTGAGATTATCAGTATAAAGCGCAGGAACATTTTCTATTTTTTCATAAATATGGCCAAAATCCTTTCCAAAAGGTTTGAACCAAATAACATTCAAGTAATGTGAGTGTGTATTTCACCCTGTGTTTGTTAGATATCTGCTTACCATTGATTTTTCAATAGGTAAGAAATGCATGTGGCTTTTCAAAATGAAACAGCACCAAAGGACATACAGTGAAAAGTCCCCCTCCCACTCCAGTCCCCAGTCTGCTCTACTAGATCCAATTGCTGCATTAGTTGAAAACAGCTTTTTGATGGGCACAGTGTCTCACCCCTGCAATCCCAGCACTTTGAGAAGCCTGTGGGAGGATCTCTTGAGCCCAGGAGTTTATCCCAGATATTTGGGAGGCTGAAGTAGGGAGATCATTTGGGCCCTGGAGAGGTCGAGGTTGCAGTGAGCCAAGAATGCTCTACTGAACTCCAGCCTGAATGACAGAGCAAGACCTTATGTCCAAAAAGAAAAGGAAAGAGAAAATAAATAGTTTTTTTTTTTAATTTGCATTTACATTTCAAATTTTAATTTTCAGCCAGGCACGGTGGCTCATGCCTGTAATCCCAGCACTTTGGAAGGTTGAGGCAGGCGGATCACTGGAAGTCAGGAGTTTGAGACCAGCCTGGCCAACATGGTGAAACCCTGTCTCTACTAAAAATACAAAACTTAGTCCAGGCACAGCGGCTTACGCCTGTAATCCCAGCAGTTTGGGAGGCCAAGGCGGGCAGATCACTCACTTCAGGTCAGGGGCTCCAGACCAGCCTAGCCAACATAGCAAGCCCTATCTCTACTAAAAAAAAAAAAAAAAAAAAAATACAAAAAAAATTAGCTG